TGAAGAGAACATCTCTCAGAAGCTTCTACCCACCTACAGAGGACCTTGGCAAGTTCTAGACATAATTGGAGATGTGAATGGTCCTTCGTATGTCATTGAGATTCCTCCTCATCTACGTACATATCCAGTGTTCCATGCATCCAAGCTCTTACCTTGTGTAACGAATGAGMTCTTCCCAAGTCGCCGATCAGCGATACCTCCAAGTATGGATGGGAAGTATGACGTGGATAAAATTGTTGCAGAAAGTACTTACCACACTGGACGTAGGGGCAGACCACAATGACAGTATAAGGTGAGATTTGCGTATCAGGATCCTAGTGAAGATCGCTGGTTCACAAAAGAAGAATTGTTAGAATCTGCACCTCATATTGTATCTGCATACGAAAATGCGAAGAGAGGAATTCATATCCTTGATAGGTAAATGATTCTCAGAGGACTTCGAATTTAGGCCGGTGAGAGTAAAAGGGCCTTTACCCGATATAGGCCTCAGGCCTTGTAAAAATAAAGCAGCACGGGCCTTGAAAAAGTAAAGCATTGTGAAAAGGTATCTCGCCAGAGCTCAGAAACGTGAAAGCAGGTCAAAGGTCAAGTTCTCTATCAACAGGCATATCTAAAGTTAAGGCAAAGGGCATTGTCAAAAGACTTACCTGTYCACGAGGAGATGTGTATGTCATGTCTGTTCGGGTAAGAGTGTGTCTGTACGTGCAGGCAGTGTACCTGTTCGTGCAAAGTAAAGTGTCTGCTCAAGCAGTATAATGTGTCTGTTCGTTGAGAGTTGTGCCTGTCCGAAAGTAAAGTCAATAGGCACAGTCCCAGTTCTGGTCTAAGTCCAGGGGTCAATCCAGATCCAGACTTTCAAGTCCAAATTCAGGCCGGGTGGCCTCAGCAGCAGTTGAATTTCATTGGGACTCTACTGGGACACATGCAATGCAGGGTCTGGGACAAGGAAAGAGGTTGAATTGAGCCAATGCAGACCCARCGAGGAGTATAAAGGAGGCAGCCAGCCTCATTYCTCGCCAGATCTCCACTGACTGTATCAGCGTGGAAGTGTTGGAGCACTTGTGCGTTAAGTCAGTAGGAGCAGCGCTGGAGGAAGCAGATGCGCTGAATGAGGAAAGAGGATTGCATGCTGGAAGTGATGCAGCCATAGCTGCCCAGCAAGTTAGTATTAGTACTAGAGGGTTAGTAGTGGTTAGCTATGAGTAGTATCCAGAGTAGATCCTCATGAGTGAAGAGTGTGTATGCATCGTAGGAGGAAGGGACTGAGGCTGAAAGTGTTCATTCAAGGTTCGGCTATGGAAGATACTTACCTGGGTTAGATKTGACCTGCAGAGGTGGCGCTGAAGAAGTAGTGACCACATTGACGACTTGGAGATTGTCTGCAGATGTAGCGCTGATACATTGGAAGCCATATTGRTGAGTTGATAAGAGACTGGTGTTGCGCTGATGAGCGCTGGACTCRGGGGAACTTTGAAACACTTTGTATTCATATTTCTGATAATATAAGTARTGAAACTCGGTCCTCTTCTTCTCTACCTTTGTCTATGGTTGATACTATTGATCGCTGCGTGTGAAGATGATGCATGATATGTACACATCTGCGTGAGATGGTCTCCAGGACCCATGCATCTGTTTGTCCTTCCCCTCATATCAAACCGTCTGTGGACCTGGGAAACTGGGTATGGAAGAATCCGAAACAGAGGTAACAACGGATACCGATGTATCAGTATACAACTAAACTGGGTTGCCAGCTGGCGACGCTGGAGCTTGACATCAATTGGAAGGTGGCCAATAGATGGCTGGCCGCAAATTAGGTACAAGATTCGCTATTGCGTATAGTGGATGCACTACCACACTTTTGGAAATTACTGATGGAGCTGGCGGTTGTGAAGCACGCGAGCCTTTTGTGGCTGATAAATTAAATGCACCAGGCACTTCCAGTGGCAGCTGGGTGATCCAGACGAACTTCCAAAGCGGATCCACGATGTGAAATATGCCCAGGGACAAGAGTTGAAGATCTGCATCACTTTGTCCTTCTTTGTGAGCTGTCCCAGCCTTTTGGGGCCTGGTGGAGGGGGGGCTCAGTGCCAGTCCCGGAACCTGACACTCGCTGGACTGATCAGTATGTATTGATGGGGACAGTCTCTCGAAGATCTCTGCAGGCTGACTGATTTCTTTATGCTGAAGAGACAATCAGAGGAGCCATACTTTGGACTCTCTGGACATTGCGAAACTCTGCGGTGAGAAGAGTGGAACGTCTGACTCCACTGATGGTCAGAGCGGAGGTTAAGTTTGGAATTAAAAAAAACGTTTTTGACAGAGTGGGAATATAAAGTTCAAAGAAAAGGATACTCTGCGTAATCTCTCAAACTTTTTGCAAGTAGATGGGGGGCATTCACGAGCTTGCTGACTGTAACTCGAACTCAAAGGAAGCCGCCAGAACTGAGATTTTCAGCATTCTTTCTATGAGTAGCTGGGTAACAGATGTGCATCCGGCTATGGCTGTTTGATGCACGGGGTTTCCCCCCCCTTTCTTTTTTCTTTTTTTTGGGGGGGGGAGTGCCCATAGGTATTTTTGCAGGAACGTTGTTTAGCTAAAATGATTACACATATCCCAAAAAAAAAAAAAAAAAAAAAAAGGGATGATTACACATATGACGGGTAGGTAATGAGTGCTTGAAGGAGTAAGAACAGAGTGTAGATAGATGAGATGTTTCTTTATTATGGACTGCAAGCTAGCATTGTGACTTCAGGACTGATCCTTAGAGAGCCGACAAAGACAAGTTCAGTTTCTTTAATTTCTTGAATTTTCTGCTGCAGTGGGGTTAAGCCTGGGCGGAGTGCCTGGCTCATCCCTGTGGGCTGTGGCTATTTATGTGAGGGGCGCTTGGCCCTTTCCCAGCTTGTAATTGAAAAAGGTTCCCCTTTTTTGCATTAAAAAAGAAAGCAAAAAAGAACGCCCGCCAGGAATGTAAACCCCTTCAGTGATGAGAAAGAATACCTCCCAGGTAGGTCGCGGGAGAAATCGTAGGTCTATTCAGATCCTACTGAGAACTCACAGAGCCTGAAAATTGTTCAGATAAGCCTGCAGCCCGGAGTTTCGTTTTTAGTGTGTTAATTTTAGCGCTAATGCGCTAGCGCCTCGCGACCCGCGGACGGCTGGGCCCGTCCGCCAGGTCTCGCGCAAGGCTCGTGGGGTCGGGCGCCCTATCGGYCGTCTGCCCTCGYGCGTCTTGAGCATCCGCGGCCCCGRCTGGTGTTTGCCGGAGTGGGAAGCCCASRTGTCGCCTGCGGGATGCAGTCACGCYAGCGCGATCGCTGAAAGGATGCACTACGGCTAACGTATGGTGATGTCGAAAGCAGGTGGTGGCATGGTGGTGRTGCGATTGACGGAGCTGGACCGTTGATCGGACTGGATGAGGGACATAAAGAYCYTGGCGAGGAAGATCGGGTGATGGTGATTTGCGTAYGRGCGGGAGGACGGTGTAACCGGYTGGTGTTTGCCGGAGTGGGAAGCCCACGTGTCGCCTGCGGGATGCAGTCACACCAGCGCGATCGCTGAAAGGATGCACCGCGGCTAACGTATGGTGATGTCGAAAGCAGGTGGTGGCATGGTGGTGGTGCGATTGACAGAGCTGGACCGTTGATCGGGATGGAGGAGGGAAGTAAAGACTTTGGCGAGGAAGATCGGGTGATGGTGATCTGCGTACGTGTTAGAGGACGGTGTAAATGGCTGGTGTTTGCTGGAGTGGGAAGCCCACGTTTCGCCTGCGGGATGCAGTCACGCTAGCGCGATCGCTGAAAGGATGCACCCCGGCTACCGTATGGTGATGTCGAAAGCAGGTGGGGGCATGGTGGTGGTGCGATTGACGGAGCTGGACCGCTGATCGGACTGGATGAGGGACGTAAAGACTCTGGCAAGGAAGATTGCTTGATGGCAATTTGCGTACGACCGGGAGGACGGTGTAAACCGGCGTCGGTCACAACGATGTCCAAGGAGGGCAGGTGATTTGAGCTTGCCCGGGGTCTTGATTCGCTCATGGAAGGCGGATCGACTACGACTATGCGTGGTGATCTTGAAAACGGTGGGACCAGGAGGATGCTCTGTCTCGGTGACGAAATGACATGTGGCGACTGCGACTAGGTATGGTGATGTCGAAAACGGTGGGACCAGGTGGTATGGTGGTGTGGTCTCGTCAGCTGTTGGCGAAAGAGGCGGGGGAGTGGATGTCACGAACGGGKGATGGTATGGTGACGTCGAAAACGGTGGGACCAGGTGGTATGGTGGTGTGGTGTGATTGACGGAGCTGGAGTGCTCGTCAGCCGTTGGCGAAAGAGGCGGAGGAGAGGATGTCATGAACGGGTGATGATCAAAGAAAGACCGCGGAGTATTGGTGAACTGAGCACGCGCGGGAAGATGTTGTGAACCGCCGACAGACAAACCAAGGTTGCGGAGGAAAGGCGATCTGATCACGAGTGGGGTCCCGTTTCGTACATGGGGAGCAGATCGACGAGCAGCGGGAGGCATGACCGGTGGTACGGTGATGACAGTGCTTGCCGGGTGACTCTCTCCTCATTCCCAGTTCCCTGCCCTGATTCTCTGACCCTCGGATCTGCTCTGCTGTCCCTGCCTATCGCTCTCACCCTCGCCCCATTTTCCCTACCCCTGCTGACCATCGTGCATGCACCCTCCACTCTTGGACCGTGTCCCGGACTAAAAAACTAGAAAACTGCCCGATGCACATGCCCCCTTGTTGACTTCACACATACACTGCTACTGATCATGCATGACTAATTACGTTTGAACAACTTGAAGTGTGGTGCTAACCAACAAGGACCCGATCGAAGGGTTTATGGTGCGCTGTCCGAGAGTAAGCTGCTGCCTATTGCTTTACACCTGACGCTATCATAACACACGTGCGCGGCTACGAAGGACGGTCGTGTCGAAAATGCATGATGCATGAAGCTGCTAATAAAACTGTCATGGGATGGTTCTGTGACGTGTAACGGCTGATTTGTTGTTCTTTGGGTCATACACAAACACCAACCCCGGGCATATGGACCACGAAATTCGGGGGCTTCTCTTGCAAGCACGGAGATGCCTAACATCCATCCTCATCACATGTGAGCTCCCCTCCTTCTGTTCTACCCTCGCTTGCTCTGCATTACTCCTTCTGTTATCCACTCCCTCGGTTAGCTCTCGCTTGGCTTGTGTCTTGTGTCTTCTGTCCTATCGTCTCCCCTGCCTCTTACTCACAAGTAAAGCGACACTGCGATGACGAAGAACAAAACGACACAACGCATGAGGGAGGGTGGGACATCGCCAGGGTCACCCCCCCCTGTTGTCGCTAATACAAAACGAGTGGATCCACCAGGGAAAACACGAGAGGGGGGGAATGACTTACGAAAAGATAGGCATGCCCGCCCTTCCTCTCCTCATGCCCGTCCTCGGCTGGGGGAAGATAAAGCAGCATCCAACCATGACCTTCCCTCCAGTCACGGAACCGGGTGGGCGAGAATTGGAAACGACCCCAGGGACAGAGGGGGAAACCCCAGTGAGGGGGGAAGGACCGAAGGCCGTCTGTCGGAAGACTGAACGCGAGGAGTCGGGCTCGGGACCTCCCCCCCGAAATGGGGCGACCCCCTCTTCCTCTAACAGCCAAAAAGCCGCGACACATGCTCACGGGAAGGACGAGTCAACAACAGTAGCGGGGGAGGGAAAGCAAGATGCCCCATGGAAGACTGCGCTTGAAGCACCGGGAGCTGGACCCGGTCTGCGATGTGGAGCTCCCCCCCCCATGCCCCGAAACGGGGTGGCCCCCTCTTCCTCTAACAGCCAAAATGCTGCAACACATGCTCACGGGAAGGACGAGTCAACAACAGCAGCGGGGGAGGGGAAGAAAGATGCCATATGGAAGACTGCGCTTGAAGCATCGGGATCTGGACCCACTCTGCGATGTGGAGCTACCCCCCCTTTGCCCGACAACAGGAAGCCCCCCCCCCCTCAATTGATTAGGGCACTCTCTGCCCCCGCACAGTCAGATGCATACAGGTCCTCCATACTGGCCACCATGGCTCCTCTAAAAAGCCACCTGATTCGACAACTCTATGTCGAGCCACAAAGGAAGTTCCAGATCCGGGATGGCTATGTCTATCCCCACTCGGTTTTTCCCTCCCAGGCACGCGCGGCAAGGGACGCGATCTACTCCCACTGAGCACTGCAGTTTCGCTTTCAAACCCTGCAAACGGCGATCCCGATCAACGATAAAGTCAAATGGATTGCAGATAAGCTCGGCAGGATTAAATCGGACCGACGATTGGTACACGACCACTTCCTCGTTGAGGTGGAGAACCCGGACTGTATCACCGTGCTTGCATTATATCCGACTGATAAATATATTATATTGAGAAATAACACCATGCAATTTCGGGGTGCTCCGGTGCAGGTGTCGACGTGGACCCCTGCCAACCCACAATCAAGTGATGATAGAAGGGAGTACCTTATGAAAGCTAACTTCTGGGTTGAGTTTAGATTCGCCCCGCTTTGCGTGCAAGGTGCGATTCTGACCGACCTTGAGAGCATCGCCCCGGTTAAAGGCTATATGACGGATCTACCACAATTCTTGGGAAAAAGGGACGACTCCCTCCTGGTAGCTGTTGATTGGGATTCGAACTTTCCCTTCCCCCTTAACGGAGAGTGGAGATACTCCTATGGGGGAAAGGAGTTCTCTGTGCCTGTCAGCCACTCCCAGGACCCTTGGTGCTATGCATGCAAGCAGAGAGGCCATCTCTGCTTTGATGACTCCCGCCTCAACAATAACAGACCAAAGATCAGGGGACTGGTGACCCCCCATCCCACAGACGAGGAATGGTGGTACCCGGAGGAAAAGGAATTGGAAGGGTGGATCTTCCGTGCATATGCGGATGGCCGACCCGGGAAGTGGCTCTGGCACAGTAAAGATCAACCAAAAGCGTTTCCAGTCGGAGCGAGGGTGCACGTCGATGATGACCCTTAACAGAAAGGTAAACGCAAATCCACGCCGAGACCCAGAAAAAAACAGAGCAGTGACCGGCCACTGCCTATTGCTGACAACAGGGGTGTAACTGGGACAAGCAAACAGGCAACCCCCGAGTTGCGAAATACGCCCCCCCCAGCTCGTCCCCAACAGGTGTACAAGCCGAAACAACACGGGGACCAGGGCCAGGGAAACAAGCAGCCCCGCCACACACCTCCAGTAGGCGACTGTCAGGAGCCGCCACCTCCTCTTCGTAGAGAAGACAAAATGCCCCCCTCTACATCTCAGTCTTAGTTGGAAGGACGGATCCTGGCCCCTACACTGGACCGTGGGATTGGGGGGCATGGCGGGAGGGGTCAGGACAGCAAACAGGAAGTAGAATGCCCGGGCCCGCCGTCCTTGGACAACTCCACTGCCCTGAGGGCTGCTGCCCTGCCGACAGCGGGCAGTGGTGGTGGGCCGGGGGGCCCGGCCCTGAAGGATGCGCAAGCTGAAGCCAAGGTGTCTCACCCACTCATTCATATGCACTTGCAGTCATCCTTGGGCCCGAAATCCCCTGCGCCTCTGCCCCAAACCCGCCCTCTGTATTTGATGCAGCCCCTTCCTCCCGGGGCTGAAAGCCAGGGGCAGACGAGGCTATCATAATATACAAACCGCCAAACGAGGTTCTGCTGCAAACTGAAGCCCCCTCGGCGGCCCTTCGAAAGACTGCAAAGGCCCCATCCCCACAGAATAGGTGGCTTAAAGCAATCTCGACTATAAATAAAATCAATGGAGCGGTTTTTCCTCAACCCTGCTCCGAACAGACTGCCCACCTCGACCGCGACAGCGCAGACCTCGCCAAACAACGGCCTACGGACCAGCTGCCCCACGGCCGCGATCCGCAGAGAGAGCAGGGGGAGGGGGGGGGGAAACAGGCTGTAATGCACTCGCAGCAGCTCTCGCCACAGCTGCTGCAAAACTGTGAATTGCAGCAGCTCCCTGGGCGACAGGATCACAAACCTGACGGGATACCGCTCCAACAGCAAACCTGGCCCCAGGTTCAACAAAATCCCCAGGTCCAGCCTGCCACCTGCGGTACTCAGCAAGCCCAACCCCAACTCCCGGCTGCAGGCCTGCCTCGAGACCACGAGGACCGACCGTGCCACCCTCACCACGAACCACATTTGGAGCTAGTGGCGGATACGCATCAGCGCTTACCTCATGCTCATGGGGCTCACTGCCAACATAGCCATGAGAGCCGAATGGTGCCGGTGCAACTACAGCAGCAGCTGACGGACAGCGCCGAACAGGAACAACACCAGGCCCTCGCCAAACAACGGTCTACGGACCAGCTGCCCCACGGCTGCGATCCGTAGAGAGAGCAGGGAGAGGGGGGGGGGGAACAGGCAATAATGCACTCGCAGCAGCACTCGCCACGACTGCTGCAACACTGCGAATTGCAGCAGCCCCCTAGGCGACAGGATCACAAACCTGATGGGGTACCGCTCCAACAGCAAAACTGGCCTCAGGTTCAACAAAATCCCCAGGTCCAGCCTGCCAGCTGCAGTATTCAGCAACCTCAACCCCAACTCCTGGCTGCAGTCCTGCCTCAGGACCACGAGGACCGAGCGTGCCACCCTCACCACGAACCACATTTTGAGCTAGTGGCGGATGCGCAACAGCGGTTACCTCATGCTTATGGGGCTCACTGCCAACATAGCCATGAGAGCCGAATGGTGCCGGTGCAACTACAGCAGCAGCTGACGGCCAGCGCTGAACAGGAACAATGCCAGGCCCACTCACTCGGTCAGGGGGCTCAGTGCCAACGTAGCCATGAGAGCCGAATGGTGCCGGTGCACCTACAGCAGCAGCTGACGGCCAGCGCTGAACAGGAACAACGCCAGCCCCAACCACTCGGTCAGGGGATGTTGGAGGGGCTACAGCACCCCGGTGACCGCCAACTGCACATCAAAGGGGATCACGGACACCAATGAATCCTGCCTCATCAACCGGCCTCCCACCTCGGCCATGAACTAGGGGTCCCATGCCAGGATCAGCAGCTCACTCCGGTGAAGCCACGGGAGCAACCTCAGTCGCACCAGCAACAACAGCACTACCCGGCCACCATACAACAGCAGAGTCTGAACCACCTACATTGCGACCAACAACAGGCATCCACCGTGGGACAACAGCTGCAGCAATATGACCCTGCTGACCTGCCGCAGCGCATGGATGTGAGTCAAGAACACCTGGGTACACAGCCAGACGGGCAAGTGCCTCTGCACCAGCAGCAGCAGCAGCAGCAACCACCTGATCCCGCTCAGCACCAAACTGCTCTGCTCCAAGACCTCCAACAGCAACAGCAGCTACTAGTGCACCAACAACTGCAACATCAACGTCACCAACAATTGCAGCAGCAGTATCACCAACATCATCACCATGTCTAGTTGCAGTTGATGAGTCAAGCACAGAGCCAGACCCAGGAACTCCAACAGCAGCAGAACAGCCAATGTGAGGAGCAACTCCACATTCTGCTGCAAGCCCAACTGGCGCAATACCACCAGCAGCAATACCAGCAGAGGCTGATCCAACAGCAGCAGCTTCTTCAGCAAATGCATTTGCAATGGCAGCAGCAACTATGCTGCCAGCAACAACAAGTGCTGCAACAGCAATAAGAGCAGCTGCACATGTATTGGCAACAACAGGTCGCTCACCAAAATGCCCACCAATCACGGCCGCCTCTGCACCAGGACATGATCTGTGGGGCGCCGGAAAATCACGGCGACGGATGCCCTCCCCAAGACATGGACACATCTGCCCCGGAAGACCTGACCCTGCTGCAACAAAGCCAACAAAGCCAGCAAGCCACGCCGGTGGCTATGGAACTCGAACTGCCCCCCCGAGAGATGCAGCAGACAAATCTGCAGCCCCCTCCTCCCCCCCAGCTGTCAACCAATGATGAGGTCAAACAGAAACTCAAGTTTCTGACTGATTGGACCCTCGCCAAAATCTTCTCCCTCAGGATGACAGACCGCAAGATAAATTGAAAACGAAATATTGGGGGGAGGCAAAAACGGTGCTCATATACAGTCCTAGAGTCCTTGCGACAGTGGAGAAGTATAAGACAGTCACTGCGATTGACTGGATGGATGTGGGGGCAGCTATTGTCCTCGTCGTCAATGAGTTTCTGGATAAGATAGACAACTATGCCAGAAATTGTCATGCAGGTCAAACTGGCCCTCAGGACGAGGCATTCCTTCACGAAGGTCTCGCCTGGCCCAGTGCCCTGGTGCACGAACTCTGTGCAACTCTGTATGCCCTCCCTGAGGTGCATCGAGAGCTCGAACTGTCCCAAAATGGTTCCTGCTTGGCCCTGCAAAACGACCAATCACAACAAGGGCCACACCGGCCGCAGGATCAAGTCAACTAGGAGTTGGCCACTACCCCCTCCCGTCATGTCGCTGTGATAGAAATCATTCACGATGACGACGACGACAGTTTGCAACCTGCACCAGACGAGGACCCGCCTGACCCATCCCCCCCGAAGAAACTGAGGGAGTTGGTGAGACTCCAATTGGACGATAGCACCCCGGTGGCAATGCCACCTGGAGTGGTCCTTTTCCCAGTCACCAGGGTCAAACAAGGAGGGGAGTGGGTCCTGGGTCTTAGGCCCCCACTGTGGGAAGCCAGCAACCACAATGCTGCCCCAGTGGGCCTCACAGTGGACGGATGGAGAGGCAACCCCTCCACAGGAGTCATCCTTAAACGCCTAAAGCACTGGTTGACTGACACAGCTACCACTGGGGTGCTAGGAGCGGTGCGGCCCAACTCACTCTCATTTCCAAAGGGCATCTCCCCGGTCCTTTTGCTGGTTGACCCTAGGACGAGACTGCAAAAAACTCCCAACGGCTTCTTATGGTTTAACCACAAACAACTCATGGACCTCTCTGCCTCCCGCTTTAGGGCCAATGTTGAGTGGATAGTCAGCCACGTACTAATGTTCATGCAGATCTTCTTGGAGGATAGTGTGCTGGAAATGCACAACCAATGGGATGACCCCCCTTTTGTCCTCCCTGTTAAGACCTTGGCCTAAGTACTACCTGGGAGATTTTGGGATAGCCCACTGTCCTAACCACTGACCTGCGATGGCTGACTCCGTCATGCAGCAACCGCACAGCGACCAACATCAGGCATGTGGCTTGCCAACGCACCTCCCGACTACCGGGCCGGCACAGGCCCCGGCCCCCCTGCCATCGCCTACCTGCCCCCCACCCCCTCCGGTGTTCCCCAAAATTAGAAACCCGCCTCAGTGGGCAGCTAAATTGGCCCGGGATGACATCGACATCCGTTCACTCAACGTCAATGGCCTCATACAGGCAACAACGGAAAAGAGGCAGGCCATTTGGGCAATGTTGAAGAACCCGACCACTAACGGATGGCCGGATGCGGTGTGTATCCAAGAAACATGCCTCCAAGACATCCCCCCGCATGTGGCAAAAGGAAATGCCATCTGGCCCTACACGTCCTACCAAGCGCCAGCAAAAGAAAGGGCATCTGCTGGGGTGGCGATCTGGATCCCTCCTTCTTCGAGACTTACCCCTCTGTCTGCACAATACGATGATCAGTCGGGCAGGTGGGTATCCCTGAAAGTGGCATACGGAGAAGAAGAGTTCTACCTCGTTAATGTCTATGCCCCCAATGACCCGGTGCACAGGGTGGACCTTTGGCTCGCCCTACATCAACACCTCCCGGATGACGCCCCGGTTATAATGGCAGGGGACTTTAACACCACCTTAGACCCGGTGTTGGATCGAAGGTCAACTTCGCAACGACATGACGCGCAGAACCCATCCCTGCCGCATGTAGGGCCGGACACCCTGATGCTCAGGCAGCTGATGGCTGATAGGGGCCTGGAGGACGCTTATAGAATGTTGCACCCAACCCAAAGGGCCTACACGTGTGTGTCTTCCAGAGGTGATCATGGCCTCGCTAACTCTCACATCGACCTTACGCTAGTTTCGAAGGACCTCCTCGGACTGGTCACCACAACAGAGATCGCTGCTATTAGCCCCTGCAAGTCCTTTGACCATAGAATGATTACGCTAGGCCTGTCCTTTCATGCTCACATCGCCAGGGGGCCGGGTTTCTACAAATTCAATGCCTCACTGCTAGCCCTACCCAAATTTGAGGAGTTGGTTAAAGAGTTCTGGCAGTATTGGCAAACTCAGAAACCGGTGTCGGGGAATAGAGTGGCCTGGTTTAATGAAGGTATGACTCAGCTAAGGGATAGGACAAAAAAAATTTCCATTCAGCATGCAAGGGATCGTAAAGCCATCCTTGATAAACTCATGCTAGATCTGGAAGAGTGGGACAATACACAGATCGACAATCAGTTACACCTCCCCTCGTTCCAGAAGCTGCAAGAGGCGCGTGACCACCTCCTCGCCTATATTGAAAGGCAGACACAAGCATGGAGAATTCACACCGATGGGACAATGGCAAAGTCATTTTTTGCCAGGGCTAAAGCAAGAACCAGGGCCGTTGTCGTCCCTAGCCTCAAACACCCCCTCCGGGACGACGCGCCCGCAGCCACCAACGCTTATGCAATAACAGACTATGCAGCCCAATATTACCAGCATCTCTTCACCTCCCAGACTCCTGAAAAAAAAACCCTCGAGGTTCGACAAGCAAGGGAGAACCTATTGCAATCGGTCCAATCACGCCTCACATCGGACCAAAGGCACATGCTGGACAAGCCCCTCTCTCCACCCGAAATATGGGAAGCCCTCAAAGGAATGGAGGACGAGAAAACGTCAGGCATTGACTCCTTCCCAAAGGAGTTCTGGGTGCATTTCTGGGACCTGCTCCAGGATGACCTTATGGGCTACATCGCGGTGATATAGATAGAGGGCTCCCTGGGGGGCATGATTGGGCAGGGGGTCACCACGCTTCTGTACAAGAAAGGGGATAAAGAGGACATAAGAAACTATAGACCAATCACCTTCCTCCCCGTCCCCTACAAAATGGTGGCCAAAGCTTTAGTCAACCGACTGCTACCTCTAATGAATCTGCTGATCCATCCTGACCAGACCGGGTTCATGCCCAACCGTAACATCCAAGACAACATACTCCTTGTCAATGAGACCATAAAGTATGCAAGGCAACAGAAAGTCCCAGCAACAATCTTGTTTATTGATTTCGAAAAAGCATACGACCACGTTGACTGGGATTTTCTGGATATGTGTCTGGTGAAAATGAACTTCGGACCGACATTTTGCCAATGGATCCGCCTTCTCCATAAATCGGCCACCACAAACATTATGCTAAACGACCACCTCTCGCCCCCCATTGCGCTTCAGAGATCGGTGCGCTAGGGGGATCCCATTGCACCCCTACTCTTCGTCATAGTCATGGAGACCCTGGCTTCACTTATCAAGGTCCACCCTCAGATCAATAAGGTGCCCATCCCTGAGCTTCCGAAACATCTTATCCCAATGACCTCGCTGTTTGCAGATGACTTGACCGTTCTCATAAAAGCCGATGCTGACAGCATCCGGGCCCTCTCGCATGCCATTCACCAGTTCTCGATTGCAGCAGACATGAAAGTTAATTGGGGCTCCAAAACGGAAGGATGGTGGCTGTCTCCGCAACAACAGACCCCGCCGCCACAACCGGCGGTCAAATGGCAGACGAATGAGGAGGCCATCCGGATTCTCGGCGTGAGGCTAACAGCACTTGGGCCCCCTCTGGATCATGGGGATGCACTGGTGAATTTAGCAATTGAGCGGCTAGCAAGGTGGGAGGGTCTCCATACTTCGTTAGTGGGATGGGCTCTAGCTATTAACAACGCAGTCCTTGCCGCAATCTGGTACAAACTTGCAGTATGGCCGCTGACGAAACACCAATATGCCAGGCTTCGAAAAGCGCTCACGACTTACCTTTGGAAAAACAAAGCAAACTCCCAAGGTTGTATGAATAGAGTCGCCTGGGACATCCTCACCCAACCAAGCGCCAAAGGGGGACTTGGGATACTCGACCCGGAAAGGGAGAGTGACGCCCTAATGTTCAAGGTGCTGGTCAGGCTGCTGCTAGGGAACGATATCCCCTGGAGCCCCCTGGCCTGTATACAAATAGCCAATCTGTCCTCGCAGCCATTGACTGGAATTAGAGTGCACTCGTTCCGATGGCTGACCAACAGCCACTGGACAATCCTGCGCCCGGCCCAACAGGGACAGCTGGGGGCCACTCAGGACCAAGCGGCCAGACAGGATATCTCGAATGATCCTTTATGGCCGTGTATGATCAAACTCTGGCGAAAGCGTGGCCCGTCGCTCAAACGCCCGCAAAACAGGTGGCACACGGTGTGGCGACAACCACTTTTTGGCAACCCCCACATCCTGGATCATGCCGGTAATCCCTTCCCCCTCACCACGACCTCGCACTGGTTAATTTGGGCAAGGAAAGAGATTTTTACTGTGGGGGACCTGTGGGACCCTCGAGCGAATGACTGGGTCACCCCAACACAAATGCAAGCCAGATTGAAGCATGTTAAAAATGTTGATGAGAAACTGGCCCAGTTAAGGGAGGCCCTGCCTTTGGCCTGGCGAGCCACCCTGACTACAGGGCCTACGGTCCAACAGCATGATTGGGTTGTCAAATACGCCGACCTCCCCCGCCCGTCTGCAGTTTACCAAATACACAAGAATGAAGGTGGGAAGTGTCAGTTTCAAGCCTACACCCCCGTCCTGCAGGGGGCCCGTTTCTCTAAACTTACTAGGAATGACGACCTCGACACCTCTGAAGATTGGGGTGGTCTCATGATCATAAGAGAGGTCGGTGACCCGGATGACGGTTACTACGCCTACGAGCCGACATTGCCAGTGGTCACACTTCCGACCCGGACGAGTGGGAATGGCCCAGCCAAAAACCGACACACCTATGGGATTACACAGTCCGGAAGGGGTATAAAGCGTCCCGCCAGGATCTGCCCATCAACCAAAGACTGCTGCAGAGATGGGAGCGCGACTCGCCTATCGATACAGCCCTGATCCACAGTCCATCTTGGGATACCTACTCTAAAATAATGCCGACATCCCTCAGGGCCTTACAGTGGCAAATCTTGCACCGTTGCCTCCCCACCTCAAACTGGCTGGTGACCCACACAGACCTTGAGCAGAAAGGCCTCCTTTCTCCTATTTGCACCTATTGCTGCAGGACCACGCAGCCGGCCAGGGAAACACTGGAACATTGCCTGCTGGCATGCCCTATGGTCGCTCAGCTATGGAGATGGTGGGATGCGGCCTTCCACGCTTTGACCACCTTCCATATCCCCTGGGATCTGGGGCTCATCCTGCTCGGCAAGAATAATCATCTAATGGCACAATGGACCCCCTTCGCCACCAATCTCTTCACCTATACGAGACTGTTGGTGCTTATGTTGGCCTGGAGAGCAAGGTGCTCCTTTGAAAGAAAGGA